ACACACACTCCACTGTCCTCACTGTCCCTCACCTCCTCTCTCTTCTGTTTATGTGCTGCCCACGCACCCTCACTTCCTCTCCTCGTCTGACCTCACATCCTGTCTGTGTCTGACCGCCTGTGTTTGATTATTGAGGACAGCCAGACGGAGTGAGGGAGCGCAACGGACAGCAGGAAAAGGAGAGGAATGAGGAATTGGGGAGGGGGGCAGCAGGCCGAGCCAAAACCAGGCGAACGGGGGTTTTAGAGGAAGAAGGAGAGACACTGAAGGACAGACTGCTGAGAGAGAGAGAAAGAGAGAGAGAACAGGCAAGAGTCTGGGTAAGAGATTAGGTACAAAAACACAAGGAAATTGAGAGACAAAGAGCGAGCCAGGGATCAACAGAGAGGAGGAGAAAGGGAGGGATGAAAGGAAAGAGGGAGGAGAGGGCTTAGAAGGATGTGAGGCAAGGATTACACAAACTTTTCTGACATCATCGGTAGGCGCAGAGCAGATGCGCACCATTGATCTCAATGTAGTAGTAGTTATAGTACTAGTCACTGCCCTCAGATCCAGGCTGGCTTGCGTAAAAGGCACCAAAATACACTGGAAGTCTTTTTTATTGTTGTTGCTGCAGCCTAATAAAGTTGGAGTAGGCACTAGTTCTTGATGGTGTCGCCATTGTCACCTAGATAATTTACCAATACAAGTTAATTTCATGGTCATCAGTGTGAATCATTTAAGCTTTCTGTCTGACAAATCATGATTTGGCAAGTCAAAGTTGTAGAAAATCAGACAAAATCTTATATAATACATATATAATATTTTGACTTTGTCAGAAATATGCTTAGTTGCTTTCTTATTTAGAGATAGATAAAAAAAAATGTACATCACTCTCATGTCTGTATACGAAACATGGAGCTACAGCAAGCTGTGAATTAGCTTGGCAAAGACTACAGACAGGAAACAAAAGGAAACACTGACAATTTGACTAACAGCACTTACTGGAACTGTTTCTTAGTGAACTTCGAGGAGTCTCCGCTGGTTGCCTCGCAACCTTAAGGTGACATGCCTACAGCTGTGACCCGTTTCCAATATTTACACTTAACTACCTGCCCAAATCGATCTTCTCATCTAACTCTCAGAAAAAAAGCAAATAAGTGCATTTGTCAAAAATGTTTTTTTCAGGTTTCTACAAAGAATCATTTTAAGCTTTTGCTCCCCGTTAGTTACGCACATAAAACTATTTTAAGCTCTGTAATTGGATGTTTCTTACCAAAAGTCTCCATGGGAGTTATAGTTAGAACAGTTTTTATCTCCACAGGGCTTGGCTCTGATTTTTTAATCCAAATTTTCTAACATAGTTGCTCATCTTTTGCACTGTTGGTTGCTCCAAATTCCAGTCACCTAAAACTGCTTTAACAGAAAATGTATCCAAAACCCTGGACACCTGAAATAACTCCTCCACACTGCGACTCTATTCCATGGAACAAAGTATGAAAACACACATTCAAATAAACTCCCATCTTAAAATGTTTTCCCTTTGCTCCTTCAGCATTCCTGACATGGAATGACATGTTTCCAACAATCTTTTTTAATGTCACACACCTACACACTTTAAAAGTAGTGGTGTGACTTACAAATAGAGTCACAGTAAAACTGAGTCACTTTGAATGTGAGGAAGTTGCATTCCTCTTGCATGACGGCCTGCGGTTCTTAGACCCAGTCTGTCTGCACTGGGACAGAAAAAGACCTTTAAGGCCTGGAGAAAAACATTTAAAAAATGTGGCAACGGCCGTTCACTCAGCCCCCACTCCACACACATACCGGGTACCGGGATACCACAGGGTATGTGTGTGTTTGTCGCCCTAAAGGAACAAAGTGAGATATGATACCCATCTTTAGAAGCCTCTAATCAGGGAGAACAAAGCAAAGTAACGGACACTCAGCTGGAAGGAGAGGGAGAAAGAGATAGAGAGA